CGGCAGCTCGGCCAACAGCAACCTATGGCCAGGTTCCACAACAAAGTGATACACAGACGCTCACAGATGCAGCGTTTGTTCAAAGAATGGATTTACTGACATCTTTGCACGTGGTGAACCTCCCGGAGGGAATGGACTCTCCGAAGAGGGAGGCTGGTTGCTGTCCAGGTGGTAATGGGAGTCTCTGTCACAAGGTTCCTTGCAACGGCCTCCTCAGCTGCATCGCGACCCACTCCCCAGAGTGTGCTTGTGCTGTGGAGGGAAGGTGCGGCGGCAGTCGCCGCTGCCGACTGAGCAGCGTGTTCTCTGTGTCCGGCGGGCTCAGTTCTGGAGCACCAGCTCCCTGGGGAGTATCTTCAGGCCTGGCCCTGTGCTTGAAGAACTGCATCTCTGCCAAAACACAGTGCTCTGGCCACGTCCTGCTGCTGGTAACACGGGCCTCTGCCTACTCAATGCTCAGGAAGGTGTCTGAGTCACTGTGCTGCACCGCGAACATCATCTCCATCAGGAGGGTACTATCATCGGAAGCGTTTGTCATCTGGAGCTTGCAGGAGCGCCTGGAGGGCAGCACTGTCAGATGGCAGTGTCTCGACTGAGGCAAAACCACCCAGGCTGCTTTTACCAGTATCTGGAACCAGCGGGTGGTTTTCTCCATGTCTAGGTAGGGGCCGGTGCAGAGGGTGCCTAGGAGGCTGGGACTCTGATTTTTCCGCAGCTTCTCCTTGGGGTGGTGGAGGAAGCACAGCATGTCCCCCACCAGCTGCTGCCTCGTGCAGGTGCACACCAGCTCCACACGGAGGAACGAGTTCTTTGCTGGTAGCTCCCCTGCAGTGCTCAGCTCCAGGTGGAAGGCATGCCCACGGGGGGGCTTCAGGGGCACGAGCAGGCAACAGATGGCATCATCCTCACAGGGACTCGAACCTTCAGAGGCGCTGCTAACCCTGATAGCTGGCTTCAGTCGTGGCATGAAACTGTTCCTGGAAAGAATTCGGCAGATACGGAGAAGTTCATCCACCAGCTCGTCCACCATCGTGAATGATTCTCGCAGGATGAGGAGGCGCTTGGCTGAAATTCTGCCCACATCCAGTGCAATACTGGATTTTACTTCTTGCTCCTCTTTAGCCGCCTTCTTTCTAGAGCTGCCCTTCTTCCCGCTGGCTGACCGATAGCTTCTTTTCCTGAGCCACCAGCAGAGCCCAAACAGCACGACCAGGACCCCAGCAATGGCCCAGAACTGCCAGTGCTGCAAGGCAGCAA